AAAAAAAAGAAGAAGATAGTAGGAAGGGAAAAATGAAGTGGGGGAATCAGAGGGGGAGATGAACCATGAGAGACTATGGACTCTGAGAAACAAACTGAGGGTTTTTAGGGGGGGATGGGTTAGCCCAGGGATGGTTATTAAGGAGGGCATGTATTGCATGCACCACTGGGTGTTATACGCAAATAATGAATCATGGAACACTACGTCAAAAACTAATGATGTAATGTATGGTGACTAACATAACATAATAAAATAAAATTTAAAAAAAGAAATTCTATTGCCTGTATTTAATGTTTATTTGTGTTTTGAACATTTTTAATAATCACATATATTGTATTAATATTCAGGGTTCTATTTTCAATCCAAGATTAAAACATTTATAACATCTACTAGGGACATTATTTTTTTTTTTTAGCTCTTGAGGATAAAATTCCCCACATAACACATAAGGCTATTGCTTGATTTTCATATATTAAACTTTTCATGTACGTTTTCAGAAACTCATTAAACACAAAAATAGAACTGCCTCCAAAAAAATGTAATGGGCAGAAAAAAAAAAAAAACTCAGATGTAACCATTAAACCCTTGGGCTAGAAAAAGAAATATCTAGGTGTTTTATGAGCTTTCTAGCAAGCTTAACCAATTTTGTTTCCCTACCATTTTCTTTTTGTTTTACCAGATAAAGCGTGCTGGTGTCGTTAGTTCTCCCTTAGCAGTTATGGATATTATGAGATTATTATACATCCTGCCTATGAATATTTTGGACTCCAGTTTCTTTGTCCTGTAATTTTTAAAATATGGGCTCCTTCTACCCCACTGCTTTGGTATAATCTCTTGTGGTGAGTTAGAGGAAGGACACCACCCTGGCTTTGAGGCTTCTGGCAGAACATTAGTCTTGTGTGGCTGTGGTTACCACTAGGTTATTGCTGAGAAATCATGTCAAAGGCCTATCCCCAGTTTGGGTTTTTCCTATGCATTAAATACTATTAGTGGTTTTAGTCCATTCATTGTTCCCATTTGAATAAAATAAAAACTCTTATGCAACAGGATTTCTGGGGGTGGTGGGAAAAGCTTTAGGTCCAGTAAAGACCAGGTTGCTCTCTGCATAGACTGGATTTACTTCTGTTTTACTCAGCCATTCTCTAGAGAGGCAAGAGAAATTCTGTCTCTAAATGTTCTACATGGTTTTCATATCCGGTAGAAACATTAAAGATAATGATAATAATGATCAGAATGTACCATATACCAGGTTAAGTACTAGTGTAAAAACTTAGCATGTCTATCTTGCTTGATAAGAGTCATAATCACAACCAGTATCATTTATAAGTCCCATCTATAAGTCAGGTACTTCACCTACATTATTCTATCTCCACAACACCTTTCTGAGAGAGGTGCTTAGAGATCAGGGAATCAAGGCACTGACAGTTAAGAAGTATGTCCAAGATTATACAGGTGGCAAATCACAGAACTGGGATTTAAATGCAGACTCTCGGGCCTTTTTCATATAATGCAGTCGAATCGATTTTTATACTTAAAAAAGCACTTGGTCACTTATTACTATATTTCACTTTGACAAGAAGATAGTAGTATCTCCACGTTAAAAGTAAGGAAAATGAGACATGAAGAGGGTCAATGGCTTGACCAACTTCACACATGACTGGTAGAGTTGGTCCAGAGTCCCCATTTCTGGCCATTAATGCGATACCTTTCCTGCTGTTCACCCACCCAATGACCGGGTGAGTTCATGTTAAGAGAGCACAGTTTTAATCCCTGCAGTCCAAACAAATGTTAAGAGGGTCATCATCCCTGAATTCCTAGTTCCCACATAGGCATTGTTTTATACCTAGTCTAATCACGGTAAGGAAAGCGGCAGTTGTTTAAATATCCAAGAACCCAAAGCGCCTTAGTTTGTGCCAGTAAACATTGATCTTCAAAGATAGAGTTCTCAATAGTTTTACATTCCCAAACCACACTTCCCAATAAAAATGATCCTCCAGAGCAAGTTCCAAAGTAAGCTCCAGGCCTGGATCCCAGGTCATGAGTTCTATGGGAGGGCGTCATCCACAATCCACCAGAAATTTGGCACGTTGTTTAGACAACCCGTCTCCATCAAGCTGCCTTTGATGGCAAAGCCAGATGGGCTTCTCTAGGCACCAGCTGACCTCCTCCTGCTCACCTTCACAGGGCTCTCCTCTTCGGT